ATCTTCAAGAAGTTGAGGAGGAGATCGGTCGGCTGAAGAACAATAAAGCAACTGTTGTAGATCAACTACCAAGTGAGCTATTAAAATGCGGTGGCGAAGCACTGGCTAGAGCGCTGCACTGGGTAATTGCCAAGATTTGGAAGGAGGAGATATTACCGGAGGAGTAGCGACAAACTGGATTGCTGCAACTACCGCGCGGTGACACTGCTGAGCGCCGCCTACAACGTACTCTCCCAAATTCTATGCCACCGCCTGCCACCATTGGCAAGAGAGTTCGTGGGACAATACCAGGCGGGATTCATGGCTTTCCACGCTACCACGGACCAACGTGCCCACACGCCATTTGTTCATCGATTTCAAATCCGCATACGACACAGTCGATCGGGATCAGCTATAGCAGATTATGCACGAGTACGGATTTCTGTATAAACTGACGTGATTGGTCAAGGCAACGATGGATCGAGTGATGTGCGTTGTTCGAGTATCGGGGACACTCTCGAGTCCCTTTGAATCTCGAAGGGGGTCACATCAAGGTGATGGACTTTCGTGTCTGCTATTCAAAATCGCGTTAGAAGGTGTGATCAGAAGAGCTGAGATAGACACGAGTGGCACGATCTTCAGGAAGTCTATCCAGCTTCTTGGCTTCGCCGATGACATCGGAAACGTACATCAGACTGAAGCTAGGCGGATTGGACTTGCCATCAACGCATCGAAGACAAAATGCATGAGAGGAAGAGATTCTAGGGAAGACATCCCGAGTTCAGATTGACGGTGACGAAATCGAGGTGGTTGATGAGTTCGTGTATTTGGGCTCACTGGTGACCACCGAACATGACACCAGCAGAGATATTCAGAGACGCATTATGGCAGGGAATCGTGCCTACCTTGGACTCCAGAGGAAATTCGCCGCCGCACGAAGTTGACTATCTACAAGACGCTGATTAGACCGGTGATCCTCTACAGCCACGAGATCTGAAAGCATAGAGTTGATAGTTCCATTGGAGTACGGCAGTGTGAAGATTGTATATAGATATTAGAATAGCGAACTAGGACAACTTTTAAGGAAGGTACAAATCGGTTTTTTCATCTCTCTTTACCAAACTCCCCCTTTGGAGAGGGATGGTGAGGGGTGTCCCCCCCCCGCCACCACTGGCAAAAAGAGATGAAAACCGACCCGTTCAAGTACCAACTGTGTGTTTGAAACAGTTCTACCGATTTTTACCGCACTTCAATTGTTATTTGAAGGAAAGCATCCAGTCGTAGGTTTGGAAATTGCAACTATTGTTTACCCCTACCACGATATGTGCTCCTGTCATCGTCGACTTGACGATCTCGAGGGGACACGGGTGGGGTAGGTGTTGCTACTGTACCTTTCGACCATTGACAGTAATTGATGGTATGCTCCCATCCAGAGTTATGTACTTTGACTATATGTTTTTAGTATTACTTCTACGTGAAGTCAACGATTTACATAGTTGAAGATGCTAATTTCAAATAACAGACTGTAGTGGTAATTTTTATACGATAGATGGAGTAGATGAAAGCATAGAGTTGATAGTTCCGTTGGAGTACTATGCTATGCATCTACTCCATCTATCGTATAAAAATTACCACTACAGTCTGTTATTTGAAATTAGCATCTTCAACTATGTAAATCGTTGACTTCACGTAGAAGTAATACTAAAAACATATAGTCAAAGAAGAATTTTAGGAAAATTTGAAGAACTGTTTCATTAAATTTTGAAAAATTTCATGAAAATTACGGAGGTTAACAAATCTTCAATTTAGTTAAAATGTGTTAAGGGAAGTAACGTGAACTTTGTGACTGTTCTGACCATTTCAAACCCGTTTCATGAATATCAAGACAGTTTTGAAAACTTCAGGGAAGTACCCGAGTAGTACATTTCCGTTAATAAAAGTTGCAGCAACTTGTTTATGACTGAAATAAGTCGTAAAAAAGATCCAACAACCGATATGTGACAAGCGTGCTACTAGGGTACTGAGAGGCAAAAATAAATTTCCAGAATTAAATTTAAAAAAAATAACGAGAAATTTCAAGAAGATATTCCACAGAACATAAAGGAAGTTTAGAGAACTTCATAGAAATTTCAGAAACTTCTCAGAAACTGCTAGAAATTCAAGGAGCTGCAGAAAACGTGGAGAAGTTACGAGATCTTTAAGACGGTTTCATTAATTTTGGGACAGTTTCTGTAATATACTCAGAAGAATAACGAGAACTTCATGAAAATGCTAAAAACTGTCCAATTAAATTTTAAAAATTGCAGAAACTATACGGAAGTTGATAAATACAATTTAGTTTAAAGATATTAAGGGAAGCTTCGTGATCTTTGGAACTATTCTGAGAACTTTAAAGCAGTTACATGGATATCAGGAAAATTGCAGAAATTTCAGGGATGTACTGAGATAAATTCAGAAAAAATAACGATACATTTAAAGAAACTTAAACAAGACATCATCAGAAAAGTTCAGAGAACTTAAGAACAATTTCGAAAACTTCTCAAAAATTGCGAAATATTTAAGGAGCTCCAGAGAACGTGGGAAGTTAAAAGATCTTAAGGACCGATTTCTGAAACATCCTCAGAAAAATACATACCAAGAACTTCAGGAAAGATACGAGAACTAAGAGGGTGTTTCACACATTTTTTTTCATAAGGCAGTTCCGAGGAATTAAGGGAAATACCGTGGAATTCGGGGAAGTTTCATTAATAGACTGCGGAACAATAAAGCAAAATCTGAGACCTTCTTTAACACCTCAAAAACTTCAAGGTGGTTCCAGGATTCAATCCCAATCGGCCTTGTCGGGATTTTCTGAGGCATACAATCTCTGATCACGCCTTCCTTCGAAATAAAAGTAAAGCCGTTGGTCCCCAGACCATGAGTTGATGGGTCGATAGGTAGGGTACCAAGAGTGGGAGCTGCCTCCCTGGCGTCAGCAGCATTGGTACACAGTACGGAAAACACATCAAAGAAAAAAAGGCGATTCCATCTGCTTCAAGAATACTGCAGAAACGTTTAATATGTTGTGCGAGGTCAGGAAAACTTCAGAAAAGTCCAAAGATCGTGAGAAAAACTGTGGATACTTTATATACATTCCATGAGCCTCAGACATGCTAGGTCTAGATATCTTCAGACCAGGTTAGAGATTTTAAGGACAGTCAAAATAACTACAAGAAACCGCAGACTTTTTGCAATTGTATGACTCCAGAATGTTCTGGGATTATCTTCAGGTGCAGAGCTTTATGAGAATTGTGAAAACTTAGACTAGATATTTAGGAAATTTCCTAAAATGTCAGCATGGTGCAGAGAAGCTGTGAGATTTTTAGGTGCAATATTTTCAGGGATGTTCAAATGGATAGTCAGAGGACTTCAGAGCAGATTAATTAATTAATTGCAGGAACTTTCAAGAAGTACCGAGATATTATGGATTTATGGGTCTTCAGGGAACTTCCATGAATATCAGGAAAATTGTTAGCTCGTTAGAGAAGTTCCGCGAACTTCTTAGAAATTACGAGAACATTACCATTCAGGTACATACACTTCAGGCAAGACAGGTACAATTCTGGTAAATCTCTGATGGAAATTCAGATGATTCGCAGAATAGAACCCAGCCGTTCCCATCCTATAAATGAGTGCCAGGCTATTTCCAAATGGAAATTAATCCCCAGAACGCCAGTCTATTAATCTAAATCCGAAAAAAAGCTGATTCCCAGGACAACCGAACCCACCGCTGCGACACGTCGCCGGAAACCAGCAATATCACTCCGAACGAACGATATGAAAGTCAAGCAAAAACGGGCGAAAGTTTATGGTTATGGCTATTTGCTTGTTAATGAGATTTTATTCCGGCCATTTTCTCCCCAGACATCGTCGTCGATTCATCTTGGACATTCATCTTCCTTGCTCTGGTAGCCAAATCTAGCCGGACCCCCGTCCGAAGAAAAAGCTCTCAATCAAATCCAACATCTAGGAACACCCTGCTGCTGCTGCTGAAATTGTGGTCAAAGTGGAACAGAGAAAAACGGAAAGGTGATAAAAATGTGAATCTCTTTTTGTGCTGAACTTCGAACCACCCCCCGATACGGGGCGAATTCTCAGAGAAAGAATTCCGGATCGCTGACCTACCGGACGCTTTAAGCTCTTTAAAATCCAATTCGAAGTTTATATCGGGGAATATGTGCACGACGACAACCGGAAGCCATGCTCGCAATGTGGAAACCAGAAATGTTCCGAAGGGAGCAGAAAAAAAACCGGTCGTACATTAATCTCTATCTCTCACTGCCTGCGATATACGAACCGAAATTCAGCAGCAACTTGCATTTCAGTCCCTGGATGCAGACGACGAACAGACGGAAGCATCCTTGAACTATATGTTAGACTGCTAGCAGGACAAAACTCAAAATAGGAGAACGATCCGAAGCAAGCTGCTTCAAGTTGAATTTCCTACATACCGACGACGACGACGACGACGACGACGACAATGGAGTCCATGTTTGAGCGATTTGAATTTGAAAACTTTTACCCGGAGAAGGAGGCAGTCATTGACTTTTCGAGATGCAACTATCAGAGGAGAGGTCTTCTAGTTCGTTTTTGTTTTCGGAAATCGAATTAGGGCCACCCCCCGTTGCGTTTTCAATTCAATTGTCGTTAGGAGCTCGCTCGACAGGAGCCGATCCTAATTCGAGGGAATTAGTTTTTATATCGAAATGGCTGCCGAAGAGAGAATGCGAGAGAGGGACAGGACAGCAGCATGGGGCGAGGAAGGTTGTAGGTCTTCGGGCTTGTTTGTCGATTTTTGTTGCCCCTTCTCGGGTGGTCGGTTGATAACTAATTCGATTTTGAGTTGTTCTGTTAATGCACCGGGGGGCATGGGAGGAAGGAAGCTTTTATTTTCTCGTTGAATCAGATAAAGTTCTGATCAGAAAAAGGAATGCCCGTGAACGTTCAAAATTTTTAAACATTAAGTGACAAATCGTACTTACATAAATTCTTGAAGCAAACTGAAATGAGAAAAATAATAGGCTTTCATTAGGAGGGTTTCGATTCATATCTGTCGTTAGCACAAGATGACCAACAGAACGGGCGCTGGTAGGTTTTTCGGCGCAAGTGGCGATTCCGATCCTGATTATTTAAGGTTTTAACTACACACTTTTGGACCTTTTTTGCAAACCTACTTTATTTTATCCTACTTAATTCATCATAAATTCATTTTCCTCGTGCAATTCTTCTATTCTTTTTCACAATAATCGTCATCCACTGTAATTTTCAATCTAGTTTCACTAGAACTTCACTATTTACATTTTCATTCCGCTGACGTCCAGAAATAAGAGAGCACACTCACGACAGCTCGACTTTTTTTTATAGCTGAGGGGTGATTTAAAGTGAAGGGCCGTTAATCCGACGTAGACCAACATTTGATATTTTTTAACCCCGCCCCTCCCTCTCCCCTCGTAGACTATAGTAGACTTTTCTAACACCTCTCCACCAACCCCCCACCACTCATAGACTTTGTTTATTTATTTATTTATTTATTTATTCATCTGACATATGTGGTCTTAATGAATATGAGAATACATTTTCAAAACAGCTACAAAATTGACAAACTAGTAATTCTATTTTTAAAACGACCAGAAGTTTCGCCGAACTCAAAGAGATCCTCCACCACCGAAAAAGCTCGAATCATCGACGATATTGGTTCATTATATCCAAACAACGTACGGTGAAATCTGTCCTGTAGTAGTCTTCGCCTTCTTTCAAGGGTGTCCATTAGAGTGATGCAAAATTTGAAATTTTCGCTCCACAATACTTAAACGATTCCAAATCGGATCCTGACTAACCTCTCAAAATTTGAACCCATTTGGTGAGAAACTGAGATGGCACAAACCATTTGAAGTTTGTATGGGAATTACTACATGGTAAAACCAAGATTTTTGTTCATGTCTATATAATAATTCACTATATCTGTCTGCTTCAAAAGATTTCAACTGTACTTGTAGGAAATTTTCCCAGCTACAACTTTGCTCAAGACCACTTTTTGATTAAATGCAAGGATCGAAAGTTATCAATGGTTCAATGCACTGATGTCTTATGATCATGCTCAATCAACTGCTCAGCAGGCAACATTGGTGTTTCTGGGACGTTGAATAGGACACAAAAATCATGGCAACTATGTCACACTGCAAAATACAGTGTTGCCTACAGAGCAGCTGCTTGATCATGTCATAAGTTTACCAATATCTTAAATAATTAATAACTTTTTCCTGTCTCGTTTTACATAGAAAAGTTGTAGCTGAGAAAATTTTCTATAAGAATGGTTATCGAACTGTTTTGCAGCTTAATATGAAAAAAGACTAGAAGGCAATGAACAAAAAGTTGAGATTTCCCATAGTAATTTACATGTAAACTTCAAATGGCTTGTGCGAAGTCTGTTTCTAACCAAATGAGTTGTAACTTTGGGAGGCTAATCAGGACCCGATTTGAAACTATTTAAGCACTGTGGAGCGGAAAAGTCAAATTTTGCATCAGTCTAGTGTCCATGCCCAACAGTCTACATCGATCGGGATAGACAGGGAGGTTCAACTGATCGCGCCAAGGTAGATGACGCAGTGCTGGCCGGATGAATCGTCGCTGGACACGTTCAATCCTTGAGGTCCAGGAAACATCATTTGGAGTCCAAACAACAGAAGCGGTTTCGAGAATTAGCCCAACTGTCGATTCGCCTTGGCAATTATCGAAGTGTAGTGAGAATCGAACGTCAGTTTTTGATCCAGCACAACTCTGAGATCAGTAATCACTTCAACTCGTTTAAGTGAAGTACCCTTGATGCGATAATCGAACAATATCGGTTGTTTTGAACGATAAAAGGTCATAACAGAGCACTTCGGTACGCTAATAATTAACTTGTTCCGATGGTACCAGTCAGAAAATAGGTCTAAAAGATGTTGCAAACGGTGGCAATCTTCAGTTGAGCGAATAACTAAATATATTTTCAGGTCATCGGCGTAGATGATCACGCAGTCCAAGCCTAATTTCGAAGCAACGTCGTTGAAAAACAGTGTGAACAATAATGGTCCCAAGTTGCTTCCTTGGGGAACACCGGATGTATTGCAGAAGGTCGAAGAAACACAGGAGTCGAATTTAACGCGGAGTTTCCTTCCCGGTAGGTAAGAGTTGAGCCAAGACACTAGCTTAGAGCATGATCCGAGACGTGACAGTTTAGCCAACAGCACATTGTGATCGATCTTGTCGAAAGCCGCCTTCAGGTCAGTATAGATGACATCAACTTGAGCCTTGCTTTCCATAGCAGTTATGCAAGTGTTGGTGAAGCTTAGTAGATTCGTCGTGACCGATCTTCCAGGCATAAAACCGTATTGAACGGTAGAAATATAGCTGTGCGACTGGCGTAGAATCATATCGCTGACAATTATTTCAAACAGCTTTGACGCAGCTGATAAGCTCGTTATTCCTCTGTAGTTCCTGACGTTTTTCTTGTCACCATTTTTGAAGACGGGAAACATAAATGACTGATTCCATACCTCAAAAAAAACCCCTTCATCGAGTGACCGGGTGAAAATTGCAGACAGTGGCTCAGCTTAGTCAACAGCACAGCGGCAAAATGAAATCGATGGTATGCCGTCGGGACCAGCAGAAAGCGAACTTTTCAACTTTTTGGCAGCAGATATGATCATTGCAGGAGTAACTACGAATGTCGACAGACTAATTAAGTCCATGGGAATGTCTAAAAAACTGGTGAGCTACAAAATGGTGAGTTGACAACCTGGAAGGAGCGGAATACCTAGCCCTGGTCCTCACAAGTTTCTACTTCACGCCTCCTCGAGTGATAACAAAAGACTACCAGCTGAAACATGGACACAGCTGGTTGGCGTAGCCTGGGCAATGTTGCCAGTCCGGCAATAGCAAAGTGAAGAGGTCCGACGCGAACACTGGCGCGGTAACCATAGTACGGTGATAGAGGAAATGCTTCACCAAACCTGAGCGTCTGCTCACCATGGAGGTGCGGCTCAAAACGGCGTCTGTTCTCCATGTTAGGAGCGGCTGATCACCGTCCTAGTGCCAGCGTGGGACTCTAAACAGAGCTGTGCACGATGGTCCCCCGGCGAGACAGGGGGTTGGGGCAGGCCCAACAAGCCGCCCTGGAAAAAAACAAAGTTGCAAAAACCGAAGAAAGAAATACGGATCGGAACAATCGGCACAGACCTACGCGACGAAATAAGGACTACGATTGGAAACTCGGAACATGGAACTGCAAATCGCTCGGCTTCCCGGGTTGCGATAGGTTAATCTATGACGAACTTCAACCACGCAACTTCGAAGTCGTAGCACTGCAGGAACTTTGCTGGACGGGACAAAAGGTATGGAAAAGCGGGCATCGAGCGGCTACTTTCTACCAGAGCTGTGGCACCACCAACGAGCTGGGAACCGGCTTTGTAGTGCTGGGTAAGATGCGCCAACGCGTGATTGGTTGGCAGCCGATCAACGCGAGGATGTGCAAGTTGAGGATTAAGGGCCGTTTCTTCAACTACAGCATCATCAACGTGCACTGCCCACACGAAGGGAGACCCGACGACGAGAAAGAAGCGTTCTATGCGCAGCTGGAGCAGGTGTACGACGGCTGTTCGCAACGGGACGTCAAAATCGTCATCGGCGACATGAACGCTCAGGTAGGACGGGAGGCAATGTATAGACCGGCAATCGGGCCAAACAGCCTGCATGCCGTATCGAACGACAACGGCCAACGATGCGTGAACTTTGCAGCCTCTCGGGGTATGGTAGTTCGAAGTACCTTTTTCCCCCGCAAGGATATCCACAAAGCCACCTGGAGATCACCTGACCAACACACAGAAAACCAAATCGATCACGTTCTAATCGACGGGAAATTCTTCTCCGACATTATCAACGTCCGCACGTACCGCAGTGCGAACATAGATTCGGACCACTACCTAGTTGCAGTATGCATGCGCTCAAAACTCTCGACGGTGCATAACACACGTCGAAGTCGAACGCCACGACCCAACATTGAGCAACTACGGGACACCGGAGTTGCCCAGGACTACGCGCAGCAGCTGGAAGTTGCACTACCCACGGAAGAGCAGCTTGGCGCAGCTTCTCTTGAAGATGGCTGGAGGGACATCCGTTCAGCCATAGGTAGTACTGCTGTAGCGGCACTAGGTACTGCAATCCCGGACCGAAGAAATGACTGGTTTGACGGCGAATGCAAACTGTTAGTAGAGGAGAAGAATGCAGCACGGGCGAGAATGCTGCGACACCGCACGAGATTGAATGTGGAGCGATACAGACAAGCGCGGAACAGACAAAACTCGGTTTTCCGAAGGAAGAAGCGTCAGCAGGAAGATCGAGATCGCGAGGCGATGGAAAATCTGTACCGCGTAAACGACACACGGAAGTTCTACGAGAACCTAAATAGTTCGCGCAAAGGCTACGTGCCGCAAGCCGATATGTGCAAGGACTTGGACGGTAACCTTCTCACGAACGAGTGTGAGGTGATTGAGAGGTGGAAGCAGTACTATGACGAGCACCTCAACGGTGAAGCAGCAGAAAACGAAGGTGGCACGGCAACAGACCTTGGAGCACGCGCAGAAGACGACAGGCTACCGGCCCCTGATCTTCAAGAAGTTGAGGAGGAGATCGGTCGGCTGAAGAACAACAAAGCAACTGGTGTAGATCAACTACCAAGTGAGCTATTGAAATACGGTGGTGAAGCACTGGCTAGAGCGCTGCACTGGGTAATTGCCAAGATTTGGGAGGAGGAGATATTACCGAAGGAGTGGATGGAAGGTGTCGTATGGCCAATCTACAAAAAGGGCGACAAGTTGGATTGCTGCAACTACCGCGCGATCACACTGCTGAGCGCCGCCTACAAGGTACTCTCCCAAATTCTATGCCGCCGTCTGTCACCATATGCAAGAGAGTTCGTGGGGCAATACCAGGCGGGATTCATGGGTGCCCGCGCTACCACGGA